GGGGTCTGACACAGCCCTCTTGTATCTGGTTTCATGAGTGAGTGAAGTGTAGAGTGAGGAGAGCATCACTGCTTTCATATTGTATTATGCACACCAATAATTCTGCAAAAGTCCCAAGAGTGTAGAATTATTTTGTTCAATAAAATCCCAACACCCCTTTCACCCTTTCTTCTTCTTCTTCTTCATCAAAATCTCATTCTGGTAGTAAGTAAGAATGGAGGGTTTGCTTTGTTTCTTGATCTTGATGTTTAGCTGCAGCCTGGTTTGCCATACCAGTGCTATGCTTTCCCCAGATGGTATCAATTATGAAGGTATATATATATATATATGCAGATTTTTCTTGCCAAAATTCTTACTTCAAATGTTCTGTGTAGTTACATATGATCATTATATTGAGAATGTTTTCTTGATTGATTCTTGAACAGTGCAAGCTTTGATGGATATCAAGAACTCATTGAATGACACCAGGGGTGTTCTATCTAACTGGGATGAAAGTGCTGTTGATCCTTGTAGCTGGACTATGGTTACTTGCTCTGCTGATAAATTTGTTGTTGGCCTGTAAGTTAACACAACTTTTTTTTTTTTTTTTCGCCCCATAGGCTAGCTCAAGTAGTAGACCACCTGACCTAAAGTCACTACTCTAACGGCAGTGGGTGGGTCCGACTCCCATCAATAACATATTTAAACTAGGATGCCCAAACTAGAGTTTGGGCGCTCCAAACTATAGTCAACGACAGGAACTGACTGGGAGGCTGTTTGGGCGACTTGCAAATCTTGGGCAGGGGTTCTGGGGTTTTAGGATTAGTTAACACTTAACAGAACTTTTCTCAGAAATTACAGCAGTAATTAATCTGGTGAATAAAGATTTCTGAGAGATGATATTTGGGTGCAGGGCAATTCCAAGCCAAGGTTTATCTGGCAGAATATCACCCCATATTGGCAAGCTGACCCACCTTGAGATTGTGTAAGTTTACCTAACAAAACAGATATATGATTCAAATATGTGGAAACTGGTATTAGCTGCAGCCATTTTGATTGGCATGTCTGGTTTTAGCCTTCTGCAGAACAATAATATATCGGGAGTGATCCCGGCTGAGCTTGGGAATATTCCAAGGCTTAAGACAGTCGATCTTTCTGATAATAAGTTAACTGGTGAAGTCCCCGCGTCTTTGGCTCAAATCAAAAGCCTGCAATACTTGTAAGCATTTCCCCGTTAGTTTATAGCTGTGTGAACTAATTGTGATGTTGCTATATGATGCCTAAAGATTGTTTTGTCGAATGGATATAGGCGGCTTAACAACAACAGCCTCACCGGAGCTATTCCGTTGGTTTTGGCTAATATGACACAGCTGACATTTCTGTAATTTTCTTGGCCTTAATACAACCGGCATTTCTGTATACTTGTTTCTATGTTATAGTAAATGTTGGGAGATGTTTACCGGTTTTCTTTGTATGTTTAGGGACTTGTCTTTCAACAACCTAAACGGTCCTGTTCCGAGGCTTCTTGCTAAAACATTCAAGTAACTTTCCTTGAACTTTTTCGTGTTCTACATCCTTAATTTCCCTTGAAATCATAGGACCAAACCAGGAATATAATCCCGTTTACTCATTGTGTGTTTTACTTGATATAGCATCTTGGGAAATCCTATGATATGTGCAACCGGGAAAGAGCCAGACTGCAACGGGACAACACCTATGGCTCTCCCGTTCTCCTTCAACAGTTCACAAAGTAAGAAACTTTTTCTCACCTTCGGGATTATGTGATCGAGGACATAGTTTTTGTTGTATACCATGATGTTTTTGCTTCACATGCTAATAGTTCCACCTGGTATCATTCACGGAATAAAAATCAAGAAAGTGAAATGTATAAATTTTGTAGATTCATTACCAAATGAAGAGTTTTTCTTTGGGTTTCACAGATGTGCAGCCCTCTGGAAAGTCTAAGACTCACAAATTAGCGTTAGCGTTTGGGACAAGTCTGGCGTGTATCTGTCTGCTAATTGTTGTGTTCGGGTTCTTTCTGTGGTGGAGACAGAAGCAAACTAAACAAATATTCTTTGACATAAATGGTGAGTATATATGTCTATGCTAGATTACAAGATAACCAGATTACCAATAGTTTTTTTCTGATATAAACATCCTCGTTTTTAACTTCAGAACAACACCGAGAAGAAGTGTGCCTGGGAAATTTGAGGAGGTTCCAATTTAGAGAACTCCAGGTTGCTACAAGCAACTTCAGTAGTAAGAACATACTGGGTAAAGGTGGTTTTGGGAACGTCTACAAAGGTCGCCTCCATGACGGGACGATTGTAGCTGTGAAACGGCTCAAAGATGGCAATGCAGTTGGGGGCGAAATCCAATTCCAGACAGAAATCGAGATGATCAGCCTAGCTGTACACAGGAATCTTCTCAAGCTCTACGGGTTTTGCACTACGCCTAGTGAAAGATTGTTGGTGTATCCTTACATGTCCAATGGCAGCGTTGCTTCCCGCCTTAAAGGTATGGTGGACCGCGCTCTGATATGTGCCAAACTACACTAAAAGACTGAATCCAATCAATTAGCTAGTCTAACACTCTAACCCATGACCTTATAAACCCATATATTCTCTCTTATATTTTTCAATGTAGAATTCTTAGAAGAACTCAATGGTCCATTCTTGTTGTGTTTGCAGCTAAACCGTCCTTGGATTGGGGAACTAGGAAGCGAATAGCGTTGGGAGCTGCAAGAGGATTGCTATACCTGCATGAGCAATGTGACCCCAAGATCATTCACCGGGACGTAAAGGCTGCCAACATATTACTCGACGATTACTGTGAAGCTGTGGTGGGCGATTTTGGATTGGCAAAGCTTTTGGACCATTGTGATTCGCACGTTACAACAGCAGTTAGGGGCACAGTGGGGCATATAGCACCAGAATATCTCTCCACAGGCCAATCCTCTGAAAAAACAGACGTTTTTGGCTTTGGGATACTCTTGCTGGAGCTCATCACAGGCCAGAGAGCCTTGGAGTTTGGCAAAGCAGCAAACCAGAAAGGCGCGATGCTTGATTGGGTAAGAACTAAGAAACACTGCTCGAAAAACACAGTTTAGAGTACCGTTGTGTTAGTTTTGTCTCGATAATTGTTGGGCAGAGGCCAGTAAAAGGCCAAGTCCAGCACCCTGCCTCTCGAAAATGTGATGGCAGTCTATAAAGAAATAAGGATTGTTGGGCGGAGACCAGTGAAGGGCCAAATCCAGCACCCTGCCTCTCGAAAATGTAATGACCAATAACTAATATCTAGGAGTTTGGTATTTCCAGGTGAGGAAGATTCATCAGGAGAAAAAGCTTGACATGTTGGTGGACAAGGACTTGAAAAACAACTATGACAGAATTGAGCTTGAGGAAATGGTTCAGGTTGCTCTCTTGTGCACTCAGTATCATCCTAGTCAGAGACCTAAGATGTCAGAGGTTGTCAGAATGCTCGAAGGCGATGGGCTGGCAGAGAAATGGGAAGCGTCTCAGAAGGCCGAGGCAACTAAGTGCAGAGCCAACGAGTTCTCGTCATCAGAGAGATACTCTGATCTCACAGAGGACTCTTCGCTGCTCATCCAAGCCATGGAACTCTCAGGCCCCAGATGATGATGCATTTCTTGAAGAGACAAAGCTGGTAAATTAACAAGAGAATCTCCAAGTAACATAAAGCAATAACTTTTTAATGAGAATGTGTAATCCTGTATATGATATGAAGCTCCAAAAATGGGGAGTGATTGTGATTGTACATGAAAGTTAAAGGGCAAAAACCAACCAACTATTAGCCACAGAGGTTTTTTTTTTTTTTTTTTTTTTTCCTACTTTGTTGTTGTATGAGTGAGAAATTTTTGTGGAAATGTGCTTTGTAAGAATAATATTTTGGGAGATTATTGATCCTGAGATTAAATTTTATCATCTCTAAGGGTCTTGTGTGGACTTTTTTCAAGAGCAATGATACTACATTTTGGCGTTTTCTCCTTCAACTGGAAATTTACATACATAGGCTATGTTTGGCAAACTTAGCTGAAAAGTAACTGAAAAAAACTACATATTGGCCTTTTCTCCTTCAACTGGAAATTTACATACATAGCTGAAAAGTAGCTTAAAAAACTGAAAACTTATAAGCTAGAAAATAAAGAGTTGTTAAACTAGCTTATTATGCTTAAAAGTGTTTGGTAAAATTAGTTTTTTGATAAGTTGATAAATGTAAAAAGATTAAAAAGAATATCTTCATAAAATTTAAATAGTTTTAAATTTTAAATAGGATTACTTATCTATTAAAATTTAACATTTTGAAGTGTAAAGATTTATAGAATCTTTATAAAACATTATATAAAATTTATGATTCTAAAATTTTAGGGTAAATTTTAGAGATATAATCATAGTCATACGATCAAGTTGATCTCCACCCGGTGGAATAAGTATAAATGGTTACCTCATTGGGCTCATGTGTTACCTCATTGGGCTCATTTTGTAACAATAAGTATAAATGGTGTTACCTCATTGGCTCATTTTGTAACAATAAGTATAAATGGTTATCTCATTGGGCTCATTTTGTAACAATCCAAGTAGTCCCAGTAAAGCTTATAATTGAAAAATAAAATGTCTTTTTTTTTTTTTTCCAAAATTAAGTAGGGGAAGAGAAAACGCCAAAATGATTTTTAATTGAGAAGGGTAAAAAATGTCATTTATTTATTTTTTTTTTTTTGAAAAGAAAAAGATGTCATTTATTTAAAATAATAAGGATGAAGCTACTAGTTTATTTTTAAAATGCTACCTAATGTAGCTTTTCAAAATAAACTCTTTTTTTTAAACTACTAGCTTATTTTGAGAACATTACCTAACAAAGCTCATAACTTATTACGTATTAGTAATTTAAAAGAAGTTATAAGCTCCTAAATAAGCTCGGTGTGAGTACATTGTGTATTTTCCCAGGTAACAAGTGTGCAGGTGCTGGGAAAGTAAAAACAACAGATTTGTTGCAAGACCAGAATAGAATGGATGAAATGTAGTGCTCTACAGAAATGGTGTTTTTTCACAAAGAATAAATTGTCCAAAAGAATCAGAACAAAAAAAATAATAATAATCGAATAAAATCCAGTTAATCCTTTTCGTTCTTCGATGGTGTCACCTGTACAGTCACCTTGTGCTCTATCTAGGCTTGCTCTTGAACAAATTTGATTGTAGCTAGAGGAGATGCGCGGCGATAACTCAACAGCTCAATTAGCATCTTCAATTTTCCATCCATAATGCAAAAACTCGGTGCAATAGTCATTGATTCGAGCACGGGTGAATTCAGAAGTAAAAATTTGATAAATGCCATTTCATGCAGCACAGCAGAAAAATCAGATATTTTCACGACTTTCAGTTTGTGGAATGTGCAATCTGCAGGCAACCCTTTCTCCCAAAATTCCAAATCGTGAATGTCAGTTGATGCTGTGATTGTGGAACCCTAACAAAGAAAAGGGAAAACAAAATATGCTTTTCAGCCAACCCAATATCAATATATATATATATATATATATATATATATGCACACACACAAAATATATATATATGCACACACACAAAATAGTAAAGAAGTAAATGTTTTAACCATTGCATACCGAGATCAGGAGTTGCTCTAAGTTAGGGGAGCTTAAAATCATGCGAAGAACGACATATATCTCTTTCATATCTTCAAAACTAACTTGATAAAGTTCGAGAACCTTCAAATGGTTATATATCATAGGATTGCTTCCTTCGTCATTACCTATACTAAGATACTAAGAAGGAACAGGGAGGAAGAATAAATAAGAATAATATTTAACCTGCTTATAGATGTGGTAAGAAAGGAAGAAAGAACAAAGTCTCTTACGGCTGCCTAATAACACTCTTAATCCAACACCAAGTACAAAAAATGTTACCTTTGTGAAGTAAATATGCCCGGTAAGATGTTCAATAAGAGGGACATTCCCAAGAAACTTGTCAAAATTGCAGCCCGAACTTTGCTCAAAGTGCTCTGCTATATCGTCAGTCATATACATGGCAACAGATATACCAACCAAATTTGGGGTATTTTCAAGGCATATCTCCTTAAATTCACCTTCCAAATTTAAATATCTGAGCTTTGGAGCTCGAATAGTCAACTCTAAACTATCAAAGTATGATAATTCCAAATTCTCCAGAAGCGGGCAACTTGAGATGAGGTTTTCAATGTCACATGGCGGAATGACAACTTGTTGAAGATTGAGATGCTTCAAACACATGAACCCCTTAAAATTCAGAGGAGGGTCCAGTTCACACCGAACTAGCTCTAAACGAGTTAACTTCTTACAAGAGAAGAAATAAGAAGGAGCTTTAAACCATTCACCCTCTCCTAACTCAATGCTCAATTCCTTTACATCTTTCCGTGAAAGGAAAAGCAGCCATTGATCTATATCAGGCGTGTTTGGCAAATACGAACTGGACAATGCAAACTTATGAATTGGTCCATTGTGAAGAAACAAACAACGGGTAATGAAGTGAATAAAATTGCTCTCAACAATCGATTTGTCATAGCACGTAGACACACAGCTGTCATCAAAAACAAGTTCTGTAATGCCAGACCACTTATACCTCCATTTGGTCGATAATGCGCTTGTCATTACAGCATCCCTTATTGGAACCTTTTCCAGGATGGCTTCTATGATGCTTTGGGGCAAATCGCTGATCAAATCCCTCTCCGAATCCATCAATGAATTTTATCAAGATGAATCAATCTACCTGCACAAAAATCACATCCAATCTCTCAACCACTGCCAGGAAACGATCAAAATTGCACTGTAAGAGTTCAAATTGAACCAAAATCATAACTTTTCACTAAACCCTAAACACCCATTCAATGATTTACAGAGGAGAAAAACGGCGCTTGCAAAATAAAGGAATATGAGTGAGAAATAGATCCAACGCTGAGCATAAATCCATACCAAATCTCACCAAAATACATTAATTTTTATCTATTTTACGCAAACCCCATTGGAATTATTGCTCAATGGATTAAACCCAGACAGAAAACCTAATCTTGTTTAACAAAAATCAAAACTTGCAACGCGATCAGGAGGATAAAATCACATAAAATTAATGGAAGAAAGAATGAAAAAATTGAAGCTACTAGAACAGTAGAAGATACCAGCGGTTTAGCAAAATATTGTCGCTCTGATGCAGAAGATCCTTTCTCTGCGATGCCTCAGAGAGAGAGAAGTAGCAGTCGCCGGATATATTGTGCAGTGTCAGTCGCTAAACCGCGCAGTTTAACTCCGCAATTATTTTCCGCTTTCCCGGTGGCGCACTTTTTATTCTATTTTATTTTTAATGAAATAAAAATGTTATTCTATTTAGGAATAAGGTTGAAATTGACCACTGAATGTAACCTGAAAATGCAATTCAGTCTGAATGAAAAAAAAGTGCAATTAGGTTACTGTACACTCCAAAAAGTACAATTAGGCCACTGAGCACTCCAAATGTATGCAATTTCACCTGATAGTAGGTTATCGTCAATTTCAGCAGGTTACCTGCTTACGTGACAGCTGAGTTGACATTTTTTTATCATTTTAAATAAATTTTAATAATAAATTTTTTAAAAAATTTTAAAAAATAAAAAATATTATTAAAAAATATTAAAAATGTCAAACTCATCTGCCATGTAAGCAGGTAACCTGTTGAAATGGATGGGAATCTAGTATCAAGTGAAATTTCACTTTTTTTAGAGTATTCAGTGGCCTAATTATATATATTTTTTCGTTCAATGACTTAATTACATTTAAGTTCAGTGGCCAATTTGAACCTTATTCCTTCTATTTATAATCAAACTAGGTTTTCTAAACCCATTATGATTAGTTGAGACTTGAGAGATGAGTGGTTGAGAGATTTTTACATTTATTGAATTTTAATTTCACTCTATTTATTAGTAAATCTTTATATATCTTTATCTTTATTATTATATTATATTATATATTATATATAATAATAAAGCATAATTTAGTCAAAAAAATTTCTCTCCAAAGTGTGAATGCATTTTGATAGAAACAAATTAACAAGTATGAATGCATTAATTATGTAGGTAGATGTATTTATACATATTTTTTTTTGAAGTTAATGTGTATTTATATTTTATAAATTATATTTTATTATTATAGCTCTATCTCTATCTCTATCTCTATATATATTAAAGCATAATGAAGTATGGAAAAAAGTTTATTGTGTTCAAATTTATTGGTAAAGTTTTATATTTAATATAATTTGTGTATATATTCATTTAAACCTCAATTATAATTAATTTGACTCTACATATATAAAGAGGAAAAATTAGATATAAAATAAACTTAGTTATTACATAAATAATTTTTTTCAAATGAATAAGTTTTTTTTGTGAAGATTTTTGACAAATATCGCCTGTTATTTTATTTACAAGTTTTATTTAAATACGTTAGTTATATAATTAAAGTAGTTATTTCAAATTCAAATTCCTTTAAAAAAAATTTAAATTCAAATAATAATACAAGTAACAATAAGCTTTAAAATCAACATAATAATAACATAATTAAAATTTTTAAAATATTAAATATTATAGTTATACTTACATTTTTAATTAAACTAATTCTGAGCTCAAGAACTCAAGTACATTTTTCTGTTTCCACAATCATTACTTTCTTTGCTAATTCAGAGGATGTCAAAAATTTAATTGGTAAATTGTTAAATTAATAATAGTTCGTGCATTGCACGAGAAATACTAGTTAAAAAAGAAAAAAACAATGTTTTGTGAACTCATTGTGATGGATAGAATGAGAGATGATTTGGTTGAAAGCTTTTAAATTTATACGATTACACCCGATTATACAATATAACCTTAAAAATAGTTCAATTATCTTGATTTGATCATTAATTGGTAATTATAATATTTAAACATGGTTTATATAGGCAAAATGTTTTTTTAAATAGTTTAATTTGAATTTTTAGTTGTATAGAGTATATATTTTGATACACACACACACACACACACACACACACACACACACACACATATATATATATATATATATATATATATATATATCTATATATATATATATATATATATATATATATATATATGGTTTCCCGTGCAGTTGTGGTGTGAGATGAGAGCCATTGATCTTATCAAGATCAAAGTTCAAGATTAACAAGAATTTAAAAAAAAAAAAAACGTGGTGACAATTTGATCTAAGTCAAATTTAAGGTGTGTGGTTTTCCTTCTTAATGTGCATGGTTTTTGTATTTAAGGTGCATGGTTTTTGTGCAGTGTGCTTAAGGTGCGTTAATTGTTGAAACTTAAGTGCAAAGGTCTAAAGCTTTAGGTGCGTAGTTTTCCTTCTTAAGGTGCGTCAGTTGTTAAAACTTAAGGTGCGTCGGCCTAAGGCTTTAGGTGCGTGGTTTTCCTTCTTAAGGTGCATTGGTTTAAAGATTTAGGTGTGTGGTTTTCCTTCTTAAGGTGCATTGTTTTCATTATTAAGGTGTTTTGTTTTCCTATTTAAGGTGCGTTGTTTTCCTTTTTAAGGTGCGTCATTTTTACAGTTTACATATGTCTCTAATTAATTATTCATTCAATTTGGACCCAAACAATCAAAAGCTTCACAAATTTTTTGAGTAAAAAAAAACAAATAAATAAATAAAACTAGCTAAGCATCTTGTGTTAAGATGACACCTCTGTAACTCTCTTTGAGGAAATGTCATAAGATCGAACTCGGGTGATAGGGTATTGGACTCTTGGGCTGCAATAGATCAGACTCAATTTGGGAAAACCTATGAACTTGATAGCCAGATTAGCTTTCAAAACTTAATTTTAAAATAAACCTATCTTATTTCTATATCTCTTCTATTGTATTATAGTCCAAATTTAATTCAACTTTTGACCCAAAATTATAACCCAAAGTTCAAAACTCAAATTCCCCAAAATACCCTCACTTTGTCGTGTCTTTGCCTGATGAGTGACCTAGGGCTTTGTGTCCTAGGCATAAATACTTACTATTCAATCACTTGCCTCTCAATCCCTCCACCATTTCTGATTTTCTTCTCTTGAGAGTAAAGCTAGCAAGAGACAACATCTGAGTAAGGCTTCCTTCATCTCTTCCATTCATTTCCAAGCTTTCCATCATCTTTCTTTTTCTCTTTGCCTTGATATTTAATTACAACATAGTGTAAAAAGAAGACAATAGTGAATATAATTAATTAATGAGTTTGAAGGTAACGAATCTTTGAATTGTAGAAAATAAAGATAATATGACTAATAAAAGAGTAAATTTCATTTTTGTACTTAATGTGCGTAAATTTTGTGCTCAATGTGCTTTGTTCTGTGCTTAATGCGTGTGATTTTTGTACTTAAAGTGAGTGATTTGTGTTCATAAGGTGCTTTGTTTGTGGGCTTAAGGTGCGTGGTGATTTGTGTACTTAAGGTGCACCACATTAATGCTAAAGGTGCGTCCAACCGCACAACCCCACGGGAAACATCAACCGCACCTGAACCCTTCCCTATGTATGTACGTATGTATGTATGTATATATATATATATATATATATATATATATATATATATATATATATAATACATATATATAGGGAAGGGATCAGGTGCAGGGAGTGCTTCCCGTGCAGTTGTGCGGGTGGACGCACAATAAGCATTAAAATGACGCACGTTAAATACACAACACACGCATATTAAGCATACAAACAAAACACCTTAAGAACACAAACCCACGCACCTTAAGCACAAAACTCACGCACCTTAAGTAGAAAAACACACGCACCTTAAGTTTCAACAACAACTCACATTAAGAATACACTCACGCACATTAAGTACAAAACTCACGCACCTTAAGTACAAGACTCACGCACCTTAAGCACAGAACTCACGCGCATTAAGCCCAAAACTCATGCACCTTAAAGTTTCAACAACTCACATTAAGTACACACTTACGCACATTAAGCACAAAACTCACGCACCTTAAGCACAAGACTCACGCAACTTAAGTACAAAACTCAGCACATTAAGCACAAAACTCAGTACACACTCACGCACATTAAACACAAACCTCACGCACCTTAAGCACAAGACTCACGCATATTGAGTACAAAACTCACGCACATTAATCACCCGCACAACCGCACGGGAGACACTCAACCGCACTAGAACTTATATATATATATATATATATATATATATATATATATATATATATATATATAGTGTCGGACCTATAGTGGGGCCAGCTGCCTCCACTCACCCCACCCCACCTCATGTATAACCCTTGTATGTATATATGTATATATAGTACAAGATTTAGTATAAGTTAATAGCTAATGTTAACATAAATTAGTTAGTTTAAATGGCGAAGCATGCGTGTTAGGCGAAAGAAGGTCTGGAGTTTGAATTTTTGTGGAGTTTTTATGGCTTTGAACAATACTACCTTCAAGTCTTCAACACATACATACAATCTTATTAATTGTAGGCTATCAAAAAAACAAATTAACATTTTCACACCCCCCCCCTCCCACACACACACACATATATATAAATATAATGGATGTGTAATTTATAATGTATTTTCTATTAGAATTATTTTATCAAATTAATTATGTTTCATATTTTGTTATACATATTTTTATAAAGTTTTTATGTGTTTTATTTTTCGCTTATATCTAACAATATTTATGACTCATTTTTAAGTGTTTCATTTTTTAAGCTATCCATTTTCTTTTAATATTTCGGTCCCACTGAGAAAATTTTCTGGGTCCGCCCATATATATATATATATATATATATATATATATATATATATATATATATATATATATATATATATATATAAACACACACACACAAAATAAAAATAAAAATATGGTTAAATTATATTATAAATTATTCGAGTTAAATTTCATTTTTGGTTCTGAATTTATAGATAACAGTCCACTTTTAATCTTTTTTATCAGAACATTCCCTTTAGGTCCTAGTATTATTGTGATATGACCAATTTTGATCCTCTATCAACGAAACTGTTTAAATACCCTTAAATACAAGGTCATTTCAGTCTCCAGTTATGAATTTTTTAAAAACATAAACATAAAAAATATAACGGGTCAACGCACTTTGTATTAAAAAGATCGAAATGTCCTTGTATTTATCGACATTTCAACAATTTTGTTGATGAAGGACCAAAATTGGTCATGTCACAATATTATTAGGACCAAAAAAGAATGTTCTAATTAAAAAAAAAAAAATTTTAAAGTAGATTGTCACTTACTATAAATCTAGGACAAAAAATGGAAATAACTCAAATTATTAATACTCATATAATATTGATAAAGGAATTGAACATGGATCCAGAGAGTGATTATTGAAGACCAAGGACGAAGGTCTAGGACAGAGGTTGAGAACAGGGGCTAGCGGTGTAGGTTGGAATTGGATCTAAAGAGCAAAGGAGGAGCATAAAGGAACATAAATTTTCATTTTTTACTCTCAATTTTTATTTTCTCTTTCAAATTTTTGATATAAAACTCACGTGATTAAAATATTCTATTATTGTTTATCATATCATAGTGAAAAGTGAAAAAGTTAAATTTTAGAATACATATAGTAAAATCGAGCATAAATGGGGCTTAAGGAGCCAATTGGGAGTTTGAGTTGAGCCTAGGAAACCAATGAGGCAATCATTATTGCATGGACCATGGTCCACACAATTGTGTGGACTATAAATAAAAGTACATTTTTAATATACTAACGGTATCCATTTTTTATGTACGTAAGGTACATTTTTTAAAAATACATTTTTAATATATTAAGTGTACATTATTTTATATAATTTACCTTCAATATAAAAATAATTTACTTTTAATATATTAAAAATGTACCTGATATTCATGGTCCATACAATAATTTGCCACCAAAGAAGGGTGTAGGTTGGGCTCGAGGTGGCAAGGAGGTGAAGGTTAAAATGAGGGATGCATATTGGGCCTAAGGAGCCCATGAGGTGCGTAGGCAATTGTTATACTATGGATCATGATCCGTTTTACATTATGGATCTTGGTTAAAAAAACATCCATATTCTATGTATGCAATTAATGGATATTTATATCCTGGCAAATTATATCATGCACCGCGCGTCTTTTTTTTTTTTTTAAAATAAAAATAAACAGTGTTTATTTTCCTCCGTTTCGCACCCTTTTGCAAAAAGTAACCCTGTTCTTCAGTGTCATTTTGTACACACTGCAGTTTCAGTTCAACACAACTACAGTTTCATTTCGATATAACTATAGTTTCATTCGATATTTATAGACTCAAATATGTGAAAATGTTATTTAATTTTATTTTATATACACTATAGTTTCATTAAAACACAAGTACATGATCATTTTGATATAATTACAGCTTCATTTTACAATATACACTCAAATATGTGAAATGTTATTCAGTTTCATTTTATATACACTGCAGTTTCATTTCACTATAACTACAGTATCATTTTGATATAACTGCAGTGTCGGTTTAGATATACTGTAGTGTCAGTTGGTGTTTAATACACCAAACAAGCGGACTCTGTTAACTATAACGGCGGGCCGTTTCTTTACTTAAAGAAACGGCGCCGTTTTTGACCGCGGTGCATATGCACCGCGGTCTATGATATAACGACCCTTATATCCTGCACCACGGCGCGCGTTGCATTGTGCGCTCAGATGCAAAACGACGTCGTTTCAATTTTTTTTTTTTTTTTTTTTGAAATTTCGCTAACCAGTGTTTGGTAGTTAATTTTCCTTAAAAAAAAATCTCATGTTCAAAAATGTACATAATGTTATACTAGAATACACATAATTGTATACATAAATGTACATAATTATATAACAAAATACGCATACTCTTTTTTAAAAGATAATACACATAATCTAACATAATACATAATAAACATAAACTTTTAACATAATACACATCAACTCTTAACATAATACACAAAAATTTCCTGATTCAGATGTACATAATTGTATAAAACAATGTACATAATTGTATAAAAAAATGTACATAATAAAAAATATACATAATTGTATAAACAAATATACATAATCATGTCAACTTCCTACCGCGTCTCCTAAAACGACGTCGTTTTGGGAGGCGCGGGGCGCACAGTGCACCATGGTGCAGGGTATAACGATTGGCAATTAATACGCGAATTATGCCCTGGACCCGTGTCCACAATGCATTGTGGACACGAGTCCAAAACGACGTCGTTTTCAGGGAAAACGCGTCATTCCAGTTTAAAAAAAAATTTTAATTTTGTCTCGCCGTTAACGGCGTTATTCGTTTGTGGGATTATGAATGTACAGTTATGACATTATGAATGTATATTTATGTAATTATGAATGTACAGATATGGAATTATGGAATTATGAACACATAGCTCTGACATTATGAACTTACAATTATGAACATATAGTGATAAAATTATGAACATAGAGCTCTAAAATTGTGAACATAGAGCTTCGAAAATTATGAATGTACAGTTATGGAGAGTTATGAATGTACAATTATGGGATTATGAATGTACAGTTATGGAATTATGAATGTACAGTTATTGAATTATGAACACAGAGCTCTGACATTATGAACTTACAATTATGAATATATAGTGATAAAATTATGAACATAGAGCTTCGAAAATTATGAATGTACAGTTATTGAATTATGAATGTATAGTTACGGAATTATGAATGTACAGTTATGAAATTATGAATGTACAGTTATGAAATTATGAACACAGAACTCTGACATTATGAACTTACAATTATGAACATATAGTGATAAAATTATGAACATATGCTCCTACAACGAAGCAGTCTGAATTTTTATTTTTTTTTTTAAAAGTGGAAGATAACGATGCCACTAACGGCACCGTTACCGTGTCCACATTGTAGGCTGGACATGGGTCCATAGCATAACGATTGCAATTAATATATTATGTACCTTTAGTTAACGAATTATGTACTGTACTAATGTACCTATCAATGAATAAAAGGTACATAATGGGAGTATTTGGTAAATAGCTATTAGCTGATAGAGTTAGTGGATTTGAGTAGTTGATAGTACTAGCTGATTGTAGAAAGATGTTCGGTAAATTAGCTGTTAGCAGATAGCTAATTACATGCAAAATGACTTTCTCAAAAAGCTTATCGAAAAATCTGCTTTGAACATCTTTTTGAATTTTAGCATTTTAGAGCAATAAGTTGTTACAAAAAACTAATTAATCAAACACTCATATTGATGGTTTAACCAAGTCAAACAGCTAATAATAGTCAAACGAATTAAAATTAAAATTAGGTAATAAGCTAACTATGCTACCAAACATGATCATATGTTAATTTTTTTTTTTGAAAGGTAATAAGGTAATTCATTAATAATCAATCAACAACGAAAGACAGGGCGGTGGAACACCAAACCACGACCCGAAGCCAGACAAAGAAGCAGACGCCCGTGCTAACACATGGGCAGCATGATTCGCTGACCTATTGACATGGCGAACAGAAACGTTCCCGATGTCTGTAGCAATCTTACAACATTGCTTAATGACCAAACCAACATAAGAGGAGTTCAGAGTACGAGAATTAAAAACGGAACAGAAATTTAAACAATCTGATTCTAACATAATATTATTAAAATGATGCGATTTCATCGAAGTTAAAGCTTCCTTCACCGCCATAGATTCCGCCATGAGAGGATCATTCCCACATTCCAGCCGTGCACTGCAAGCTGCAATATATTTACCATTTGAATCTCGTACCACAGCGCCAAACCCCGCTCCATTATCAAACGTTGCTGCGTCCACATTACATTTTAGAAAACCAATAGGGGGAGGTTCCCAAGCAGAGGTACGCATACCAGTAGCAGAAGTCCCAGGAGTTACCTCATTGCGAAGCTGCTCCCATGATGAAACCAGCGTCTGAACATGCATACGCATCGACTCCAGGACTGGCGTTTCATTCTTCCATACCAACTCATTACGGGCATTCCAGATTACCCACAGTTTAGCCGCAGCAACAATAAGATCTCCCACTGGACTGGTGCGAAGCATAGTTGTCATTGCAGCAAGCAAGCCATTATCGTTGAAGGTAAAAGCATTCCCCCAGAGTTGCACAGCTACTGGACAATCAATGAACAGATGATCAAGTGTTTCATGGTCATGAACACAAAAAGGGCAGCCTCGCCCACCCATACATGTTTGGCCCTGAGATTTTCGCGCAAAGGAAGAACATCCCGCATGCAACGCCACAGGAAATTACGGATCTTTGGAGGAACCGGCAACTTCCACAAATTTCTCCATTCTGTGAACTGCATCTGTTGGTTACCGTGTGTACTTGACTGCATAAGATACCGATATCCTTGACGCACACTGTATCTACCGTGAATATCATCTTTCCAGAACCATTCATCCTTGTAATCAGGTGATACAGGCGTAGCAATGATCCTAGGGACGTCAGCTTGATCAAATAGATCATGGACAACCTCGAGGTCCCAAGTGCCCGGGGCATATTTCAACTCCTCGACTATAGGCGTTAACAGCTTCGGGTTCACCTTGTCTGCCAACCATGGTGCCCCCCAAATAGTTGTGTCTTTACCATCTCCTATGCGTTTTACCATTCCTGCCCGCAAAACTGGTATGCCTGCCAAGATCGACCTCCATATATAGCTTGGATTATTCCCGAGCGTAGCATCCAGGAAGTCAGATGAAGGGAAGTATTTTGCTTTCAAAGCCCGTCCTACTATAGAAGTAGGGCAAACTATAAGTCTCCAACCTTGTTTAGCAAGGAGTGCAAGGTTAAACTCGTGTAACTTCTTAAACCCCATCCCCCCTCTATCCTTCGGTGCACATAGACGAGTCCAACTGAGCCATGGTATACCTCGATTGTTTGATCCACCGTTCTCCCACCAATAGCGATTCATCAATCTCTCCAATCTGTCGCACACAGTGAGTGGAAGTAAGTACACAGACATCGCAAAAATTGGTAAGGACTGGGCTATGCTTTTCAGAAGAATCTCCTTTCCTGCCCTTGAAATAAATTTAGTCCGCCATGACGCCATTCTGTCTCTTATTTTGTGCTCAATAAAACGGAAAGTAGCAACTTTGTTCCGTCCTAGTAAAGAAAGCAGACCAAGGTATTTTCCGAGATCATCCGTTAGCCGTACTCCCAGGGAATTCGCAATATCTATCCGCATAGTGGGCGATGTACTAGCACTGAACATCAGACTTGACTTATCAAAGTTGATTTGTTGTCCAGAAGCTGCACAATACAAGTCTAACACATTTTTCACTGCCTGCATCTCTTGTGTACAGGCCTTGAAAAAAAGAAGGCAGTCGTCGGCAAATAGCAAATGTGACACCGGTGGTGCCCCACGAGCAATTTTCAAACCATGAATATCACCCCTCGCTTCTGCCCTACTAAACAGTGTCGAAAGCCCCTCTGCACAGATGATAAAGAGATATGGAGACAAGGGATCGCCTTGCCTTATACCACGCGAGGGGGTAACCACACCAACTGATTCATCATTGACTGTAATATTATAATTAATAGTTGAGACGCACATCATGATAAGCTCAGTCCAAGCCGGATCGAACCCGAGGGCACCAAACATTCCTTCCAAAAAACTCCACTCCATGCGATCATATGCCTTAGCCATATCCAGCTTTAAGGCGGACCAACCCACAGCACCTTGTCTATGCCGTCTCAAATAATGTCCAATCTCTCCTGCCATGATGATATTATCTGACAACAGACGATCCTTTATGAAAGCACTTTGTGCTGGGGAAATAACTTCCTCTAATACCTCCTTTAGCCGGTTTGCTAAAACCTTGGCAATCACCTTGTAGGCAACGTTACATAGAGCTATCGGGCGTAGATCACCAACCTTCTCAGGGACCTTCTTTTTAGGGATTAAAACGATAGTGGTATCGTTAAGTCTCTCTGGAATATTTTTTCTGTTTAAACAACTCAAAACAAAACTGGTCAGATCATGGCCTACCACAGGCCAAAAACGCTGGTAGAAACTCGGCGTCATCCCATCCGGACCAGGGGCTTTATCCGGGGCCATGTCGAAAAGAGCCAACTTCACCTCTTCGTGTGTGAACGGACGAAGTAACGATGCGTTCATGTCTCCCGTTACCCGCCGTTGGACGTGCTGGAAAAAATTCACACTTGTAGCTTCAGAATGAAAAATATGGGTGTAATACCTTAGAATTTCCTCGTTTAAGGCAGAGCCTTCCAACCACTCCCCGCTAGAATTTGTGATCCGTGCTAGGCGGTTTGCCCGCTTTCGAGCCGTTGCGAACTTATGGAAAAATTTAGTATTACTGTCCCCTTCCTTTAGCCATAGTTGTTTCGACCTCTGTCGCCAGTAGAGTTCTTCTTGAGTAAGTAACCTGGATAAGTCTTTCTCAATTAAGAGATACTCAGCAACTGCCTGCGGTGTTCTATTATCACGTAGAAGAGCCAGTTTGCTACGTAAAAAATTAATCTGCCGACCAAATTGTACATAGTGCGCACCTCCCCAACGCTTTAGGCATTGCCCACAATCGTTCACACGCTTCTGAAAGTTCAAACCCAGCGAGAGAGCCCATGAGCGTTCCACCACTACCCTGCAACTGTCATCCAAAAGCCATGCAGATTCGAACCGGAACCTGTTCCTTCCGGTTTGTGAAGGCAACCCTTCAACATCCATGTAAAGAGCATTATGGTCAGACGACATTGTTATGATATTAAAAATCAGTGCTTCGTCATAAATGTCGGACCAGTCAGCTGTCGCAAGGCCTCTGTCTAAACGTTCTTCTACCCAAGCATCCGTCCCTCGGCCACGATCCCATGTGTAACGATTGCCAATCATCCCCAGGTCCTGAAGTTGACAATCTTCCAAGGCAGTTGTGAAACCTTGGATTAAGGACTCAGGATGTATATGCGGACCGCGCTTCTCTGACTGGCACGCAAGGTCGTTGAAATCACCTATAACGCACCAAGGTAAGTTTGACTGTCCCTTTAGATGACGTAATAGGTCCCAAGACTCTTGCCTTCTGGTACTCTGCGAATAGCCGTAGAAGCAAGTCAATCTCCAGCATGGCTTCCCGGGCAAGGAGACACTCACGTCTATATGGTTTGACGAGTATCCGAGGAGAGTGGCTACCTCCTTATCCCTCCATAACAAAGCTAAACCTTCACCATCTTCATCCCTTTCCACGCAAAAATTCCCTTCGTAGCCCATTCGTGTGCGTACAGACTCCACACGGTCGTTTTTGGCTTTAGTCTCCATTAGAAACACAAACATGGGGCGTTTTTTGGACACAAGGCCCAACAATTCTCGAACTGTTCGAGGACTCCCCAGACCTCGGCAGTTCCAGCTAACCGTACTCATTGTGTCGGGCGGGCCTGGGACGCACCAGTACCCGCCAGTTGCAAGTTTTTTGAATGGATTTGCTCAATCTCCATAACCGCGTCATCACTAATTGTGTTGGTTCCTTCCATACGGCGTCGCTTTTGTTCAGTTATCACAAGACCGCCATCCCCATCAATCTCGCATGCATCATCAGTAATAATTAAAGGGAGATTTGCCCTTTCCATAACAGGCTTGAGTTGACCATGCAGTACCGTTGGGAGATGCCTTGGAAAGGAAAGAGAATTTTCATCCTGATTTAGAACCTTGTTTCCTTTTGCAGCCACTCCTACCGAACTCACTCCCGGCGTAATCCAGCCGCTCCGTTCCACCTTCGTCTCCGGCGCTATCCATTTCGAACCTACTGCCGTTGAACTTCTTCTCCCTCCCGCCCGGAGGTTGGGGCCAAAGGGTTTAGGTTGTTTCGGATCAAAAAGACGAAGTTTTACCTTAGGGCAGAAACGGTCGCCATGACCAAGCATACCACAAACAAAGCAGAAAGTGGGAAGACGTTCATACTTGAAGTCCACTGAAACCCACACCCCGTCGTCCTTCCTTAATTTCATGCCCTTCTTGAGAGGTCTTGTGATGTCAACGCGAACTCGTACTCGGAAGAACGTTCGTAATCCACCATCAAAATTTCTTTCGTCTGTTTTATCCAGTTTTCCAATGAAACCGCCGATGGCTTCTAGGACAGACTCTGATCGGAGGCCAGCAGATAAACCATGGATCTGGATCCAGAAAACAGCCTCATTCAGCGTAATAGTATTAGGGTCCTGTGATGGGGTTATACGCTCAAGAATCAACAGATTTTGCTCGAAGGCCCATGGACCATTCTCAAGGATGTGCTCCAAGTCGCCCTCATGGTAGAAACGGAAGAGATATCGCTGACCTTCTAGTTCACGGACGTTCATGCCCATGGCCGGCCTCCAAACCGCAGCCAAAGTGTCTCTGAAGTAGGTAAACTTGGTGGCTTTGTCTGAAACCAAACGCCCAACCAGCAGGTATTCTTGTTCAGCATCAGCAGGGCCCAGGGAAACATTTGCGATCTGCTGCACTACATCGTCGGTCTCGAGATCCGCCATAGAGAGATGGGTTGCAGATGTTGATGCCATCGAGTTCGCCATGGAAGAGATAGAAACAATAGCCAGAAAGCACAAGATCAAAAAAAAACCAAACCTAAAGCTCACAAAGGTGGAGAAGAAAACACTCGCGAAGAGAGCGAGAGAGATAATATATATGTTAAGTATAAATACCTAATTTGGAGTGCGAAGGTTGAGGAGTACGGTCTAGACAAGAAAAGATCAAAGTATACGGGGACACGGGGTTGGGATGGCGTGCCCCTCACGTCTCCGACACTCAAACCCTAACCTACTTAATTTATAAACTGTTTAATCCTTCTCTCTGAAATGATCTTTGGCATAGAACACATCCTCCTACCATGTGAGTAGAAATCCCCTCTCAATCTGATCAGTTTACAAAATTTGAATGCTAATTAAATGTTGTTTGTTTCGAATTCAATTCATATGTTTGTTTGTTGTTTGATCTTTAATTTGCATGTGTTATTTGAATTATGATGGACAGGGATAACCCCATTCAAGTTCAGAAGGATAGAATCAGTGAATTTCCGGCAAATGTGCTTGACAACATTATGGGATTCTTGCCTATTGCAGAAGCTGCTAGAACTGCTGTTTTGTCTCGCATTTGGCGAGATATTTGGTTCAATCTTACACGGCTCAACTTTGACTGTCACTTCTTTGATTACATGATTAAAAAATATTCCAATGATTGCGTAACGGCAAGTTTCCATATTATCTACAAAGTTCTTCTGCAGAACAATGGATCAATCCTCAAATTCGTCTTTTGTTTACCGGATTATAGGTTATGGTATGGTTTCATGACTGATAGGTCACAGTGGCGGTGGTTTGACTTTGAACAATGGTTGCTTAGTGTCACTAGAAAGGGTGTTGAAGAAATCCACCTTAGTTTTAAATTAAACCGTGATGATTATAGACTACCAAATTGCATATTTTCTTGCCGAACACTCAAAAGTTTGTATCTCTATGGAGTCTCTTTTGAACCAATACATGCCCATTCCATACTACCAAATGTCACTTCACTGTTTTTTGAAGGAGTCAACTTTTGTGATCTTATGCCTCATGTTGCTAATGTTCCCATGCTGGAGAATTTATCATTCATCCAATGTAAATCGATTTCTGAATTCAAGATTACTGCTCCAAAACTTCGTTATTTAACAATCAAAGGATGCGATACCGGGTCTTTGATGCCTCCAGATACCTTAGACATCAGATATACTTGTACTCTTGATTTTGATTGTGCTTCAATTAAGGTATATCGACTGGACCTTTTAATTTAATTTTTTAAAATAATTCTTAGGAACTAATCTAACTTTAATTTTTTTCGGTTTGATTTCCAAGGAATTTGTTGAAGTTTATAATATGAGAGATGAGTCAACTGCACTAAACGTGGGATGCCTGAGGTTAACTGGATCAAGTGCCATATATTCAGCCTATAATATATCTTCTGATTTCATTTATTTGCTACAAATATGTCCAAAATTATGCAAACTCGATATAAGTTTAAAGGTAATCTTCATCTTCATGAATAAACTATATTCTAGTTGTTTCCATTATTGTTTCAAATTCATTAATGCAAGTTGTTTAAATTTCTAACTAAATGGGTTTTTGTTTGTTTTATCTAATCCTCCCTCTTCTAAGTGTGCTGGAGCATTGTCTACATCCTTTTTTTATACTGAACTTTATACGGTGGCCCGATCGCACAAAATGCTTCACACTTTGAAGCTTAGCTCGTTTACTGGATCGATATCTGAAATGCATCTCATCAAGTTGCTACTTGATTGTTTTCCCGCACTTGAGAAGGTCATCATTTTTAGTCACAGAAAGCTTAGTGGCATTGAGGAATTTGATACTATTAAGGAGCTTTTGCGCTTTCCTCGTGTCTCTAAAAAAGCAGAAATTATTTACACCTGAGCATACTCATATTTTGCAGTTTCGAGCAGTTTGAGGAACACCATGTTTCAACAATTGATATAACTTTTTGGTATCGCTCTTGATTGTTGATACAAGATCAAATGGAGGAAATTAAATAATTAGGAAAATAGAATATGGCATGCTAGAATTGATGGAGCATGATATGATGATAGAATAATAATGTTTCCTTTCTTTCTTTTGTTATTCTCTTCGCGCATTTATATTTTCCAACGTTATTAAGTTAGTTCTAAATGGAGGAACTAGTTTGGTTAGCGTGAGTAACACTACACTTTCATCTCTTAAGAGCGTATGCAAAAGTCATTATGGTCAACATTTTGTTCATTAATTGGCTCAACCCGAAGCAAATGAGGATTAGTTTGAATTAAGTTAGTTCTAAATGGAGTTAAGTTTAATATAATGGCATTAACTGTGGGACTTAAAAGGTCCGAGTTAATTGAAGTTTACATTGCTCCTAATTGGGAGAGTTAATTGAAGTATACATGGGTGGGAGAGTTAATTGAAGTTTTATAAATATAATTATTAGATGTCTGAAAGATCATACACTCAAACAAAATAATTTTGTCTAAGAGAGTAGTACAATTCAAACTCGGTATTACACCACATTTTTAATGTAACAAATAATATATTAACCCAAGAAATATTTTAACAATGTTAGGGAGGATCTTTAAAAAAAAACATTTTATTCGAGTTTAATTACATAAATAACTCATGATGAAGTAATATAAATCCCCTACTATATATACATATTAGGACTCCACAGTTTCAGTTTCTCTTATATTCATCTAGTATCAAAGTTCAGTTATATTACGATCATTATTGTGAATATACATCAACAACGTAACAGTTTCTCTCATATTCATCATACATATCACATATTGTGATAGAGGGCTCAATGAGTTATTGAGAGTATGCCAAGTAAGGCCGGGGTCAAGATTTGGAAGTTTGGTGAATGTGCGATAGTCAAAAAGTAGGTAGAATTAGGCCTGAGCATCGGACCGGATTGATATTCCGACCATTCGATCGGATTGCGGATTGCGATTTTAGACTCCTATCCGTTTTTTTTTGTAACTAAAACCCTATTAGATATGCAATGTCGGATTTCGGATTACACGGATCGGATGTCGGACTTAAGTCGGATTTGGAAAAGGTCATTAATAATATAAAATTTAAAACTGAAACAACACAATATTATCTAATCTACCAAGTCTCTATTACCAAAATAAGTAATAACTAATAAGTAAACAAAATATTACATGCAACAACTTTTTAATGCACAGTTTGCACTTTGCAGAGCTAAATAATTTAAGTAAACCAAAAATACAAACTTAATCTAAGTTTAAGTTATAAATTCCAAAACATCAAAAATTCGAATCTAGGCCTTTTCAGCAACCATTCAAATCAGCAAATCAGCAAATCAGCTTACATCAATCACCATTTCTACACTTCTTCTTGTTCATATGAAAACTTAACACAGTATTAGATTATTAGACAACATATGTAGTAAACAGCTAACTAAGTAACAATAGTAGGCTCAGATTGCAATTTTCCATTTCAAGTAAGGATAGTGGCAAATTGCTCAAATGTGTTATAATAACACATGAGCAACATAGCAACACTATACCATTTTTTCAGACAGTGGTGGAAGCATCATCATTGCCAAAAAAATAAGTAATAAATAATAATGCATTAAAACTGAACAGAGATCAATTCAGATTTCAGAGGGTGAGAGGAATACCAGAGATCCAGAATGGATGTAATGGGAGTAAGGGATACCAGTACTGATTACTGAATACTGAATACTGCTCAACTCTAAGTGGGGCAACATTTCTATAATATAATTATTGAAAGTTTCCAAGCCACTCAGACTGTTAAGACTCGTAGAGTTTCATCTTGTGTAGGCCAACAGCAAATAACAGTACAACAGTAAAACACTAGTAAAGATAAATAATTAGTTAAACAAATAATAATTATGGAAAACATTACAGGAATGGATGGCAGCATTGATGGTACAGTAGTTGCAGCTCCAGTGGGTAACTCTGCAAAACAGTTAAGTAAATATGTAATTAGTTCTAGACTATCAAGTTACAAAAGTAAAAAAGAAACTATTTTTTAATGGATATTTTTACCTTTCTCCAATCTTTCAACCTCATCTAAATTTTCCTCAAGTGTGATTGGCTGATTATGTAACCTCAACCAATCTTGGGTACATAGTAGGGCTTCCATAATTTTAGGAGTCAAGGAACTCCTAAATGCATCAAGCACCCTCCCACTTGTACTAAATGCACTCTCAGATGCAACTGTGGAAATAGGAACTGCAAGTACATCTCTAGCCATTTTGGAGAGAATAGGAAATCTCTCACTATGATTCTTCCACCACTTTAGAACATCAAAACTCACAGATTCATCATCCTCAACCAGATTTTCACTCAAGTAAATTTGTAGCTCTGTCTGCTTACTACTTCCACCACCACTCTCCAATCTTTTTTTTTTTTTAAGTTCACTCTTCATCCTTGAGACAGGCCTACCAACTGTACAAGTAGTAGGCTGAGACTGGACAGGTTGGTTAAAGGATGAACTGTCAGAGTATGTAGCTGCATAGTCATTATACAATGCAACCATTGGATTTTGGACCTTGGCAAAACATTCTTTGCCTTTGACCTCTCCATACAACTGGACAAACTGGTGAGGCATGTACTCCTCCTTATCTCTAGGGTCCAGAATATTGGCAAAGAAAATGATATGGTTCATTTTTTCTGGATCTCCCCAGTACTTATCAAACTTCTCTTTCATTTTTGTCCCCATTGCCTAATAAATGCAGAAACTCAGAAAGCATAAGCATTTAAAAACACAAACAAGTAAACAACTTACAAGATATACAGAATTACACAAATAAATTGCACAAGTTTTTTACCTTTTCAGTTCTCTCAGCTTTAGTCATATCTTCCAGCATGCAACTGAGATCAGAGATCTCAGAGAAGAATGTGTTAGAAGTGACATAAAGAGAACCAGATATTCTCACTGTCATTTCATAAAAAGTTTTCAAAAGCTTCATTAAGCTTTCAACAGTCTCCCAATCAAGGAAAGAAGGTGTAGAACCCAAGTTAGCAGAAAAAGAAGGATCATTTTGATGATATGAGTCAAAGACACTTTGATATTGAATTGCAGTGTTGAGCATAATGTAGGTGCTGTTCCACTTTGTAGGGACATCAAGCTGCAAAGCTGATTTGGCTTCCACCCCAATGAGTTCAGCAAGTTCTCTGAACTTATTCAACCTAGCAGGTGAGTTCCTAACCCATCTTACTGCATCCCTCACCCTTTTAATTGACTCATCTGCAAACCTCAAGCCATCTTGAACCACTAAGTTTAAGATATGGGCTATACACCTCATGTGCATATACTGCACCCTAACAGAAGAAGAACCCCAAGACAACAACTTGTTTTTAAAAAATCCCATAGCTGTATCATTAGAAGAAGCATTGTCCACTGTCACAGTGAACACATTTTTAATCCCCCACTCCAACAGACAACTCTCTAAGGCTTTGGCAATATACTCCCCCCTATGAGAAGAAACATGGACAAAGGAAATTATTTTTTTCTGAAGCCTCCACTGGTCATCAATAAAATGTGCAGTAATGCACATATAATTAATCCTTTGGACAGAAGTCCAAGTATCAGTGGTTAAACTGACCCTTTGGGTGCCCACCCTAAACAACTTCTTAAGACTCAACCTCTCATCTAGGAAAATTTGGTAGATATCCCTAGAAATAGTCCACCTAGAAGGAATCTGAAACCTAGGACAAGCTACAAGAATAAACTTCTTGAACCCCTGACCCTCAACAAACCTAAAAGGGAGTTCATCTATTATGATCATCTCACATAATGCCCTTCTAATGGCTTCTTGATTAAAGACCCAAGTCCCCAAAACCCCCACAGGAGCCTCTGTAGCAGAAGTTGAAACAGTATTGAAAGTGATAAAGGACTGCCTAGTATCCTTTGCATGAGGATTTTTAAGGCATGCCACCATATGATTTCTCAAGGATGATGTGCCATGTTTCTTAGACTCACAGACAAACACTTTCAGGCAGTAAAGGCACTTGCCTTTAACCACTACATTTTCAGTGTTTTTTATCTTTTCAAAGTGATCCCAAACTGGAGATCTAGACTCAACAACCTTCCTCTTTTTTGCAGGAACAGCAGGAACAACCTGAGGCTGCTGAACAGGATTCTTAGTGCCTTGGGCTTGTCCTCCATGTCCCTCTTGAGTTGAGGGTTGAGGTCCAGAGTCAGGAACATTGATGCTTTCCATCTAAAATGATGGGCATCAATTACTCAGCAAAGACAACAAGCCAACAATCACATAAACATACAAAGAAATCAGGATTCAGACACTTTTTGTGTCATCATGTATCAAGATTTCACATTTTCATATTTACATATTTACATTCAAATATTCAATTAAGGGTAATACATCCATAAACATACTCAAATAATGAAAGAAATCCAGATTCAGGAATTGTATCCAATTCATCATTATCTGGATTTCAGTTAATGGCTTCCACCAATAAATGGAAATTTCAAGTTTGAAACTTGATAATTTCACATTCAAGCCTTTAACTTTTATTTAAATATTTAATGGCTTCCACCAATAAATGCAATCTGGAACTTCTCAAGTATCAACAATATCACAATATCACAGTCCACACAAATCACAAGTACAAATTAGAGACAAGTGAGATGCAATCTGGAACTTCTCAACAGATCACAATATCACAGTCCACACAAATCACAAGTACAAAATTAGAGACAAGTGAGATGCAATATGGAACTTCTCAACAGATTACAATATCACAGTCCACACAAATCACAAGTACAAAACTAGGGTTTGGGCTTCCACCATAATAGATCACAAAATAGAACACAACATAGCATAATCTAACAAAAATATACGAGCATATGAACATACAGAGAGAAAAGAATCA